GCTTCTAGAGAGCATGTTTTACTTTTTTATCTGACAGCTCTAAGAACAGATGACATGGCTTTTCTCAAACAAATTTCGGAAATGTAGTATAATAAACACATTTTCTGCTTGTTTCTTGATGATCCGTGCTATTCATGTCCAAGTTGAGACCGAACACTTCACACTTGTAAATTCACCTGCTCCTATAGCAGACAAACTAACGATCCACTAGAGTAATCGGAAACGCAAATAGGCTAATTTGGATGGACCGTTTGACTTAACATTGTTGCATTGATGACAACGGTAATAGAGCCTTTTCGTGGATAAATGTGTTAATAAAACTTCCTGCGAGTTTAAGAAACGGCAATGTTGCTTGGTGTAGGACAGTTTTGAAGTAGCTACTATGTGACACGGCTGCGAGCAGAAGTGAACAGCCCCCATTAAAAAAAATGTGCCAATGTAATTTATTCTGAGAAGAAACATGTCCACCCTTAAGACGTTTAGATTACTTGAGCAATTTTAGAAATAAGGAGACCAGGAGACTGAAATTCATAAATCGCCCGAGTGCCGAGGGAGGGGAGACTTCAAGCGGGGCGGTAGGTGGGATTATTAAACCATATCAATCACTCACTGGTTTCAGCCGCTTCCCATTGGTAACTTTATCAGGTCCCGCTGGGTTACAACAGGATATGACCGACAGAGCAGAATATGACTGACAGTACAACTCCCAGGACCTGGGTATCAGTCTCATTCCCATCACTGCTTAACACAGCTAACCCTCTCCATTGCAGAACGTCTTGTCGGCCGTTGGTTGGGAGCAACTTCATTTTGGTCATTTTTTCACCCAAGACACAGTCGGAACCTCAAGAGCACCTTTTGGTACGAAGACGCTTCAACAAAAGTAGGCCTACGCAGACAATGGCGTATGGACTAAATTGGCTAGGCACGGCTGTTGAACCTATGTACTGCATATATATGTTGTATTTATGTTTTAAAAATATTATTTATATGTTTATAAAAGAGGTATTTATAATTACTTTTTATTTATGTTATTTTGAAATATGACATCTCCAGGTCAATTACTATTGTAATGTTTTTGTCTTTCAATTTTATTCTTATATATTGCTGTAAATGTTTAAAAAAAGTAAAAAAGAAAAAAAAAGTCAATGTGCACTTCAGTGGCTTCAGATAATTTGATCACAATAGACGTTCATTTATAATCAAACCCATTCTTTTGTAAATCTTTTATGAGTGTGTGCTCTCCATTGTTACAATGTACAGTTATTGAATATTAGTTAAATATCAATGCAATACTTCAGTATCGATTGTATGAGTAAAAAAACAAAACAAACACATTCGCAAACACAAACATACCGATTCTGATATAATAGCGAGCTGTACGTATTATAGCTGCTGTGGACATTTTTTGAAAGTATGAATATATGTTACTTGAATAGTTTTCATTCAGATTTCTTGTATTCAAAAAACAGAAAGAGATGTATGAGAGAGAGGTGTGTGTGTGTGTGTGTGTATATATATATATATATTATTCATCATACCAAAGGGTTTTCATAGGAAAATCTCTCACCAAAATTGTCATAAATAGTGGTTACCTATAGGTCAAAGTAAAGCAAAAGGTTTTGTGTTGTGTCATACTGGTGGTCGCCTGTTTGACTGTGGAAAAGTGCCTTATGCGATTCATTAAAAATGACTTTTGCAAACAATTGCAGCATATTGAGGATCGTGAATGTGAGAATTCAGTCAAGCAGCATTCACTTAAATGGTGTCCATTTCAATAGGACATGCTGAACGACAGCCCATGTTTGCGATCAGAAAAAAATGCTAAAATGGATAAATAGTTGCAGTTATGGTATACAGTTCAGAGTAAACTTTGAAAATATGAAGTATTTTAACATATGGATACTTAAGAGAATTAGGTTAATACTCCTTTTCATTAAATGCCTATCCAGTACAGTGTCCTGGTGACCCAGGAGGAAACAGAGGACAGGGGTAAGGGGGCACCCTGGATGGGGGGGGGGTTGATCCATCAAAGAGCATCATGTAAGTGTGATATATACACTCATGTGGCTGCAACTGAATACAAACAGCAAGCAGACCGGTGAAGAGGTTCAGTTACTGAGTGGCTAAGCATTAGAATTCAGGTGGATCACATCATAGACAATACAGCGGTGTCTGGATTGTGGGAAGAATCGCACATGTCGATAGGGAGAATATGCAGTATACTGACACACATACATAGAGCTGGATGCTGGAATAGAACAAATGGCTCTGGAGGTGTGAGGCCACATTTCATACACTGCCCACCCATTTAATAGCGTTTGGCGATTTTACTCTGCTAGATAAGGTGAGCATGTGTCTGAGTCACATTGGTTGACTGGTAACCCTGGGTAACTATTTCGCTTTCTATGAAGGTTTATAACACAAGTTAATTTAAGAATATACTGGACCATAATGCTTTAGTCTGAGAAGTTCCACTCATATTATTGTTTTCATATATATACAAATATACCACTGGGGCCTTAGGTGTAGACTGGCCATCAGGAAGGTTGGGAAGTTTCCCAGTGGGTCCGTCTAATGAGAGCGAGTTGGCAGCAAAATATACCGGGGGGGCTCACCTCATAGTATCAAACAGCAAATTCCCAGGCTGCTTCTTGTTGTCAGCCGTCCCCTGCTGGAGCCTGTTCTTGTATCTCTGCTATCTTAATTAACCTATTTATTATTGATACCAAATGTCTAGCAATTCTCAAGAGACAAGACACTAAAAATATATTTTTGAAAAACCACCCTCTCGACTAATCATTGGTGAATAGCTATCTTGTACACTTGGGGACATCCATTATGAATGTTTTAAATGAAGTGACAGTCATCGCTGTGATTTGGACTTTTGGAAATAGTCTGATGATAGTTCAGTGTGGTACTGTTGTCTATTGCCTCCTGAGTCGGAGGTTTCTGCTCAGGGCTGGACTGGAATTATAAATCGGCCCTGGACTTTAGGTTCTTCTATGGTAAATTTTGCTGGTGGTGGGGAATCCCGGCGAAATATTGTGCCTGCCCACTTGCCTTTTGGACCACCGGGAAAATGCCCAGCCGTGCGTCTGCCTCTGTTCTGTGTGAGTGGAGTCTGCATGATCGGTGTCTCTAAATTGTCCATAGAATGTGGGTGTGTGCATGTATGTGTCCTGCGATGGACTGGCACCCTGTTCATCACGTACCGTAGCCTTGTTCTTTACGCTGCCTGGGATCAGCCCCAGGGTAAGTGGATAAAAGACAGACGTAATGGCGTGAAGTAGTAATTAAACGTCCCTGAAATAACGGGACGGAGCGGCTAAAAAGGTGTAAATACTGACCTCATGTGGCTGTAAAACGCAACGTTTTAATAATGTACTTACTGTATACATTAGCATAAAGCCCTAGTAGGGCTGCACGATAGTACATCGCAATAATACTTCGTGAGTTGTGAAAGTTTTGCGAGTAATACCACGATATTTATAAAACAACAAAAAAAGATTAAATGTATCCGAAATAAACAATAGCGAGTTGCAACTTATTATAAATCAATAGGGTCTGTTAAATAAGTTGGTACTGTTGGTGATCGATCGCCTACATAGGCGCATGCGAACATCACGGTGATCGACGATGCTGACACGATATATTGTGCAGCCCTAATTCCTAGTTAAAACAGCAAGTCATGCTGAAACCAGTTGTGTTACATTCTTTTATTTTCTCTTCTTTTCTTTTCTATGCAGCTTGCTTTCACTTTGCACTAGTGTATGAAACAAGAGATAGAATATATTACCCGATTATTTCATTTACGCAATAATGAGGCCGGTGTATTGTTTCAGTGGGTACATTGCAACTTTGTAGTGTTAGGAGCCTGAGTTCGCTCTCACAACATAATACGTTTTCAGTAGACGCTGGCAGCCACACTGTCCGTCTTGCTTATCAAACATATGAAGCCAATCAGATATTCTGGCTTGGGTGGACGGGAGACCCCAGGAAAAACTGCTGGCGAAGGCATTTCATAGCCAGAAGAGGGCACTCTTTCCTCCAGAGCAAACAAATACAAATGTCCCAGTGTAATAAAGAGGACGCTATGCAGAGGCTGTTTGTCTTTGGATGGGTTGCTGACTCATGAGTCATTAAATACTTTAAGACACTTATCAAAAGAGTTTGGGTATTTGTTGGCAAAATTCACTCTCAGTTCTCAAGTTCTCAGTTTAATTACTGTCTACATAATTACCTTCTGCACGGTCGAATTCCAGCTTGAGAAACACAATACAGAGAAGATCCATCATCAATGCTCATAATTATGCTCAGCTCCTCATTGCTGTATTGAACTCCTGTTTTCGAAGGTACCTGGGAACATTCTGGAAAATATCTAGAAAACTCTCGGCTGGGTACTTGCCTTCCTTTTGCCATGTAGGAAATAGCTTTATGTTGAGAATTAAATGGGCATTTCTTTCTTGGCATGACTTCTGCCTAGAATTAGTAGTAATAGAAAAGTCAGATCAGCTGGATTAGTGGTACCACCCTTCCATCCATCCATCTTCAATAACTCCTTATTTGGTGCAGTATCACACTGAGCCTGGAGCCTTTACTGGGAAACACGGGGCACAGAGGAATGGACACCCTGGGTGTGAATGTCAGTCCAGTGGGACTTTAACATTTATTTCATAATGGCCCCACACTTCCCACATTAGCATTGAAATGAGCATTTGTACACTATTAAAGGCTTTCCTCCAAAATATCATATAAAATAGAATTAAATACCAACAATAAAAAGTGGAACTTAAAATGAAGCTCCTATTTGGTCTAAAAAGTGTTGATTTCATAGCTAATGCTTTGTGATCTGTAATATTTTAAAGTACCATATACTTTCTTTCGTCGAAAGGGAAGGGAACATGCATAAACACTTTTGGCTGAAGATTTATTTCACTTTTGATGGAAAAATATCTAGTTACATCTGCAATGAAACTAAAAGTTGAACAAGTGCTTTCGAAAATGAAATAAAATAAAAACAAAATTGTATTAAAGCAATCTGGGAGAAAACAAGGCCACAAGAAGGTAGGGTTGACTTTCTGAATGAAAAAAGCTCATAGAGATAGAGATATGGTTGGATTCTTCCACAAGACAGTTTGACTGATCTTTAGAACATCACGGAACATCATTTTCCCATGTGGGTCATCTTTTACCCCTTTACATATCACACCTCCTGAAAGGATCCCAGCTTTATTCTCAGAACAATTCCTTCTTACTCTGTATCCTATCAGAAATCAAATGCCCTATTTCCCAAACACGCCTGTTCGTCCACCCTTGAAATAGGACCCTACAGTTTTCTAGCTTGCCTTTTTAGCTGACAACGTCAAGCAGTGCAACTGTGTTTCTGAGTTCTGTAGCATTCCGTAGTAATTCTTCGGACCGGCATAAAATGTTCTAATGCGAAATGGCTGTTAAAAATGACCTCACAAAGCCAGGTGTCTAAGGTACCAAGCATGATTCAGAACTGCATTCCAAACCATTTAAAATACTGGCACATTTCACATTAATATAGGAACTGACTGAACTCAAAGGACAAATGCATTAGGTCACCAATTAATCCAGCAAAACACAAAACATATAATAACATAAGCACCTCCCCCAGTTAAAAAGAAAAATAATAATAATAATTCCTTGTATGAGTCTTCATGTCTGCTCATAAACATTAGAACGTTTGACAAAACAAAAAGTATAAATTCTGGGGTAATACCAATGAGGTAGAGACACTGTATCCAACATCACCGGTAACAAAAAAATTACTAAAACACCATAACTAAAGATTCCCAACAACTCAATTAGGATCCAGCCTTAAATAAATCTGTCTTTAAATGAATTAATCAATGTCCAGCAACTTTGACTTAATCAAAGTTTGTCTTCTTCTTCTCTTCTTCACAGTGCTGCTTACCAAGTTCTATTATCTGTTCTGATAGCTGCACTTTATATAACCTGATATTTTTGGGTGCAAACCAGTTTGCTGTTGATCCGTTTCCACATCTTAACGAGGTCTGGGGGGAGCAGCTTATGGACCACGATCATGCTCTTGAAGAAGCACGGCTCTTTGTTCAGTCTGCTTTTCTTGTCCCTCACCAGGCCGAAGGTCTTGAAGGCGTGGTGCTTGACCGGCTTGATGCGTAGCCGTGCCAGGCACATGCCCAGGAAGACGTCGTCGATGGGGTAGAGCTCCACGCCTTTGGAGGCTTCAAAGAGCTTCCTGGCCAAAGATCCGTCCATTACAAAGCCACCACCACCTGCATATGGAGGATAGTGTGACTTGTTATATAGTCCTCTAGGAATATAATATTTATTAGTCTTCTTACGAATAGGCCTTGCCATGAACATAACATCTCCTGCAAAGAGGTTCTCAGTAGGGCTTTCTTTAAGGTACTCAATAATATTGGGGATGTTGACAAAGACATCATCATCTCCCTTGAAAACGTACTGGACATTCCTGCAGTATTTGGAGAACCACTTCAAGAAGTGAGTTTCCTTCAGGGTGAGGTTATAGAAGCTGTCCAGGAAGTCCCATTGCAATATGTCTTTGAAGATGTGATCCTCATACTCCAGCAGTTTCTGATGGTTGACCATCTCCTCCTCCTTGGATGCAGCACCCAAGAGGAACACAGTCTTGACCTTCTTGCCATCGATCTCCTGTTCTTTACCCCACGTCTTCCGGATCAGTTCCCTACGGTCATGCTGGGTGATGATGGATTTGATAACGATGAGCAGATGGATGTCCTCCTCGCATTTCTCAGGGTGGTTAATGATCATTGGGAAAACCCTGCAGTGTCTGTAGAGCACATAATGCTGGAATTTGGGTTCCAGAGCTTGAAACCATTTGGTGTTAATAACGCTGCGATTTGCTAAGCATTTTGAGGCGGTGATGTCCCACGCTCTGAGGACTTCCTTCACATTTTTGCCTGCGGAGTCCACATCCGAGTCCTTCCCATCAGTGCCCAAGAGATGCTCAATCTTTGATAGCAGTCCCCGCTTTAGGCTTTGCTTTCTGGAGCCATGTTTCTGTAATTCTCTACCCTTAACTTGAAAAATGTCTTGAAAGTCATCTATGCTGAAGTCAGACATCTGGACTACAGTCAGCATAATCACAGCCAGGAATACCAAAGCAATCCTCGTGGGTAACTTCATTTTCCTCCAACAGAGCAGGCTACAGACAAACAGAGCATGATGCAAAATATATCGGGCTTAATTTGGTTATTGCTGTGCAACAAAATTTCATCATTTAAACAGGAATTTGGTTAATATTACAAAACAATTATGCAGAGTGGTTGGACTGGAAAAGGTAAGGGTAACATTACGGTACAGAAGATCCAACCATGATTTTTTTATGTGAAGACTTCCGGTAAGTAAAATACCGTATTACAGTAATTGATACAAGAATCCATATAAATTTGTGTTTTATCGGAAATGATTAAATGCAGGTATTGTCTGGCAATAAAAATGCACGGAAGTTCTTTATAAAATCACGTTATAGGATCTATCGCGCACGGAAAAAACAAAAGAACGTCAAATTCTTCAAGGACTAAGATTAATTTACCCTCCTGTGCTTGACAAACTAGGCAATAAGGTCTGACAATCTTAAATCGTTCAAGATGTTCAGCGTGAAACTACTTTCATAAAGAAAAGTCGCAGTACAATTTATATGCATTGACTCAGATTTCTTTATTATTCAAATAAATCTACGTTACATATGTAATATATAAAAGAACAACGATTACGCTTCAACCAGACGGTAAGCGCGATTGAGACTGCTTTTTATTACTGACACTGTAATAAACCACACAGGTACTTACATTTCAATTGACACAGGAAACAAGGTTTATCGATCTGTAGTATAAGTAACGTGTCCGCTGTCTTTACCAGTTATAGGAGTTTACCTAGAACATACCGGGAGGGCTGCGAGCTCTCGTTCAGACAGCACCTCCCATAGGCGTACTGTATTAATATTTATGATCAACTACATTCTTATTATACAGGATTAGGCCGCCTTTCCTTAATTTAAACACAACTTATTAATAGATCATTTGACCTCTTCACACCTCTGTCTCGTGGTCCGAATTGAATTATAAAAGAATTGAGTTATAGAAGAAGTTATACATGAGTTGCATGCATGTGATTGTCCGATTACTAAACAAACAGTCTCGTCTCGCTGGCAGATGGACGATTCAAGTCCTGAAGCGCTTTTCTGAGCAAGGACATCCGTCCAGTCCATCTGTCGAAGATGCCACTGAACAGCAGTTACTGAGAAAAGCAACTTATTTCTCCTTATTCTTAGCTCTGCTTAGCACTGTGGACTGCTATTCTTGAAAGTTTAGTTTTGTATAATAGTAATAATAATAATAGTATAGAATAGCCACCCATGATGAACAATGTAACAGGATTGATAGGAATGAATGATTCAGAAAAATCATCTGGCGAGCTCAGCGTGCGATCTCGTGTTCAAAATGTGCTCCATCTGGTGGAACGAGAAACGCAAGCAAGCATTTGACCGATGTAAAACAAAAAGGTATTGTCGGATTAAATAGCAGAATTTTGAATTAAATGCAAGATGATCCTTGGTGTTACCTAATACTGGGGGAGTTTGAGAAATGACGCACTTTGACTCATGTTGAACTGGAGTACCTAAACAAATAACAGACTGTGAAAATAAACTTCAAGTGTTAAGTCCTAAATTTGTTAGGAACTTCAAAAGATTACGTTTCTTCCAAGAAATGGTCAATTTAAAATTAAGATAATCTGATGCGCTAGGCCTGCTGTCTCCTTTGTGTGAACCAGCGCTCAGTAATTACAATTTTCCAAAATGTTACTGTCCACGAGGTGGCAGTGCATACCTGCTATACAGTAAGTGTACAGATACCGGGAGTGTGTACAAACCGTTTGATGTAAATGTCAGTGAATAGAAATTAAGAAGTTCCTAGATACTGATGAGATTTAGACTCATATTTATATACTAAGTGTTGGGAAAAAGCCACAAGTAGAATTTTTAAAACAGATCTTCCGATATTTAAAGTTCATACTTCATAAAGCAGAATTAAAACATCGCAGTCATGCATTCCTAAACAGCAACCTTCGAAAGCAGAAAGACAGAAATAAAAGAAATACGCCATATATGGATGGGTCATAAACACGTTCTGTCGTGGTTGCACATTTCCTATTATCTGGATTAAAGTTTGCTTATCGCGGAATCCAGCATGGTCAGTGAGGTGCGTGAGGCGCAGTCACGTGGCAGCTGGACCCTCCTCGGTCACCGGTGTCTTGATCTCAGAGTAATTTCTGCCCCAATTTCAGGGATAGACTGGGACTCTCTTTCAACTAGCCAACCCCAATTGGGGGGTTGGGATGAGAAGTATGTTTTGTCTGAACAAACCCTGCACAATAAAGCTCTGTATTTAAAGCTGTCTTGTCACCAGACCAACAAAAACAAATTGATTTACAATTGAGAAATCAACTGAAAATCCATTCTAGCTTCTGAAAAAAAAAAATTCAATGACAAATGGACCTACACTGTTATGGACTGAGCAATACAATATAAGCTTTCTTTCTTCCTGTAGGATCAGTCTTATAAATCTCTCAGTTACATAAATAACAGCAGTTACTGAAAGTAATACTATATATTTTAACATCACATATGTAGTCCTACATAAAATTACTCAGCTTACTGCTAATTACAGCCCATAATAATGAGTAAATCTTTACAATATACAAAAGATTTGAATATATTACAATATTACTAGGTTTCTCCATATGTTGCAACACGCTCATAAAACGTAAATGACAGCTAAATCATGACAGGTACATTCTGACAGCTAATTGTAGCAAAGTTCCAAATTCTGAATGTCACCGATGTTACAATGTCCCTGCTGCATCACCCACCCAGTCTGGCTTTATTCAATATTCGGAATGGATCCCTTATTTCAGAGCAGCTCACATTACCCTCTTACAGAAGTTTTTTTTCCTTGCCCTCTCAACACCACTTATCTCGTTCCACATTTTGGTGCTGCTGTCCATCTTTTCAAATGTATCATGATGACAGACTAGCTACTAGATGAGCTAATAGATGTTCTATATAATTAACCACAATGTTAAGGTGTATCTGTATCACTTGGGGTGGGGCTGCTCATTTACCCCTGAATAACTGAAAATACTTATTTATGACCATGGACCACAGAACCAGAGGGTGCCCAGGTAACTTGTAAAACCGTGTAAAATATTTTTGGTTCCCTTGGTGAGATAAAACACGAGAGGCTGCCGTAAGCACGACTGGCATCCTCCAAACCAGCATTGTATGCATGTTTTATGCATTTTTCAGTTACTAAACGTTTTGTGTGTCGTCTGCAGCTTTCGTAAAACGGCACAAAAAAAAAATGTCCATGTAATTTGTAATGCCGACATCACGATATATGTGGAAACCATGGTGGAGAATGTCATGATGCAGAAGGTCATGTGTTTTTCTTTTTAGAGAAACGGTTATACGATTTTCAAAAGCAAACAGACAAGCGGATATGACTGTTACCCCCCCCCCCCCATTGTTTGCATGCATTTCATGGTCCATGATTATGACTATTGCTGTGGTGTAGTGCATGTATGCATCTATGCTATCTGCATGTGCACATCTCTTGTCATGCCCCTTGGTACAGCAAGGCCCACAGTATTCAGCCTGAAATGTCACTGCTCCACCTGGAATTCTCCCTACGCTCCCGATAACCACTCTGGCATTGTTGTCCCCTAATAACAGTGATACGGTAGGAGCCTCCTGTAATAGACATGTACAGAAGATGACCCTGCATTCGTTTTCACACAAAGAAATGACCGAACTGCTGTTCTTGGGTTAATTAGCCACAACCAATTTCTCTCAGGAAAACGTGAAGGAGCATCTCACACAGCAGAAGTTAGTTCAACAGCGATAACGTTTCTATTTTTATAACGCCAGTATCGCTTGTCTATTGTATGTCACATGTTTCCCATCCTGTGAATTGATCAACCGTAAGTTATAATATGGATCACATGCCATTTCAGCCCTGGAAATTAAAAGTCCACGTCACAATGAACCTGAGGTCCATCCCTGGAAGCACAGGGCACTGGGCCACCATGGTCCAGTCCATCATTGTGCACACAGAACCGATGGCTGAGTCAGAGACACCAGTTCCTCATGTCACATATTTTTGGACTGCAACAGGATAATGAGGTCCCTTCACCATACCCTGGAGCAGAGGTGGATATTTCAGATCCAGAAAGTACAAATCCAGACCAAGATTTTGTTGTCACTCTGTGACTGAGTCACTTTATACTCACTGGTTGGTTGGAACAAAATCTTGGCCTGGATTTGTATTATCTGCACATGAACTTTCAACCTCTGCACTAAAGATCATTAAAATGCAATACAATTTGTTCTCCACACTGTTCACAGTGTTTTGGCCTGACTTGGGTCTCCTTTTGGGATCCTGGGCTGCTTGTAGCTGCTGGGCCCATAATGCATTTCATGCCCGGAGGGTCTTGCTGCAGGAAGTGACACTGTGAGGTCCACAGGAAGGTTTCAAAGGGGCAGACAGGAGCCCTCATCATTCCAAAGAAAGCCGGTTTGTTTGAAGCCAGTTCCCTGTTGTGCCGGTGGTTTTTTCCAGCCTGGTTTCCTGTTTTGACTCCATGTTGGCGCAGCAGGGAGTGCAGCTCAAGAAGACACTGACGAGCCATGGCTATGTGTGACCAAATGCAGACACACCATAAGCAAGGTCACATGCCATTGTTTGTTAACTGATGTGCTGATACAATGAGTTCCGATATCTGATTAATTTTCCTGGGGATGCTGGGAATCCTTTCAGGGATTTTAGAACTTTGTCTGAACAGCTAAACAAACAAACAAACAGTCACAACATGTACGATGAATGACACATGGGCTGGCGTTTGGTGAAACAAAGGGG